GGCGTCGAGGTGGAGGAGCGGAAGCGAGGAGGTGCGCCGGTCGACGCCGGCGCCTGTCTCGGCGGCGTAAGGCGACTTTACCGTACTGGGGCGATATGTCCGGGGGCGGCGTCGAACGGTTCGTTTGGGAGTTTGAATGGGAGAGAGGCCCCTGATGTATAGGCTCGAGCTCGTTATGCAAATAGAGACACAGAAGTCAGAACAGCGAGAATCTCTCGTCAATCAATCTTCAAGGCGCGAATATGGACAATCGAAAGAGTACGGTAAAGTTGGAACACGAAAAGTCGTGAAAAACGGAAAAGTCGCGAAAAAAGCACGGCGCACCACGAGTATAAAAGCCGCGAATGACCAAGGTCACTCGCGCCACTACACTGCCTCTCTCAGAGGCAAGCGTCTTGCGTGACGGCTCTCCGTGCTCTCGAGCATGCTGCCTCTCACGCGCCGGGCAGCGGGGAGGGGAGGGGGAGCCCGAGCCGCTCGGCGGTCTGCCGCGCCTCCTCCAGCGAGATCTCTTCCACCCGATGCCAATTACGCAGCCGCCACGCCCGCTGCCCGTCCGCCAGCCACCGGACGCCCTCGCCGACGGGTGCGCTCTGCTTGTAGAAGCACGAGTCCACGACGCCGTCGGCGAACCGGTAGACGCCGCGCCCCTCCTTCTTATCCGCCTTCCACTCGCCGTCGTAGACGGCGCCGTCGGGGTAACGGCAGACGCCGCGACCCTCGGCCTCTCCCGCCTCGTTGCGCTCGCCCTCGTAGACATTGGCATCGCCGTGGGTAGGCGTGCGACCGCAGCGCGCCCGCCGAAGGCTCGACCGGGCGCGCGTGTCAGCCAGAAGTTTGCCAGTAGAGCGATCCTGGTCTTTCCGAAGACGAGCCCCGCGCCACGGGTGCCAGCCGTGCCTCCGCGGGAGCCGCCTCTCGAGCCGCGTCCCGCCGGCACTGTCCCTGAGTGCGTCCCGCCTTGGTTGGCGACACGCACTCGACGAGGGCAGTCCAGCCGACGGGAACGTGTCGCGCGCCGGCGA